CCCAACCTTCCTTCTGAGGAGTGGCTGGTGGGTTTGAACCGCCAGCCCTCTGGTTAGCAGGCAAGTGTCTTAGCCACTATGCTACCAGAGCTCCCAGTTTAGTAACCTGAAAAAGCTAATACTGATTCCAAAGGTGCCAAATGGGTTGAGATTAATACTAAGAGAATCAGGAGGGATGAATAGGGGACACATAGAAAGGGACAGCAAAGCAGACATTCTCACCTGAGATGCAGGAGAATAACAGATAGGGTTTTTTTTTTTTTTTTTTTTTCTGTTGTTGTTCTAAATATGTTCCAGTAAATATGTATTATTCATCAACACATCTTAGTTTTCTGCTTATAGATAGGAACTTTACTATGTTCTAAGGAGCTCGGGTGGTGCAGTAGTTAAAGCATTCAGCTGCTAACAAGAAGGTTGCAGGCTTGAACCCACCAGCTGCTCTGTGGGGAAAGGTGAGGGCAGCCTGGTTCGGTAAAGATCGTCACCCATGGAAACCCGATAGGGCAGTTCTACATTGTCCTCTAGGGTTGCTGTGAGTTGGAATCAACTCTATGGGGGTCTGTTTCAGTTTACTGCTCTCTTGAGCTAAATTTCCACTTTCTGTTTCCTTGAGGTTAACTGCATATATGCCAACCACTGAGGCGTTTTAGGTGTTGGATACAACTGTTCTCACTCTTTTTTAAATGCTTACCTCTAAGTCATTAAAAAATAAATGTGTATCAGCAAGATTAAAAATCATTTCCTCCATTCGGAGTCCAAGGGTTACAGCCATGGGGGGATCCTGAAAAGAAAATGCAAATATAAAGAGGTAAAATTTCAGTAGCCACAGTTATTAGTAACAAGTTTTACTGGTGTGTGGTGAAAAGGAAAGACTACATGCATTTTTAAATAAAATTCAGAAAACAGCCCAAATATCTGAAAAGGAGTATTTTCAAAGCAAGACTTAAGACTTACCAAATAGACAAGTACATCAGTGAATTTAAATAAATTTGTACACATAAAGATGACCCAGGAGAAATTTTCACATAAAGTTCTATGTTCATGATAGAAAGTGGGAGAAAGCAAGCCAGATCATATCACCTAGTTTACATTACTGCATGGAAATTCCATTGGGAAAAAGGTATTTAAATAGAATATTGATGGATGAAATAGGCTTTTGGAAAGAAGAAAGGATGTCCTCTTAAGAATGAGGACAAATAATCAGAGGTACGAGATGGAGAAAAGCAGGTCAATTGCATGTTTGTAGAGAATGTTATTTTGAGGTGGAACAGTAAGAGACAGTAATGAATGAAGTGTTACCAATTCATTATTAATTGCATTTTGATCAACAGGGCAGTGAGAGTCTCCTTTTGAATATGTCTATAGTTTGGTCTAACCTGCATTTGACTAAGATTGAAGAAGGAAGAATGGAGGAAAACTAAAAGAACATTAATTCAGTAAATGTAATCTTAGAAGAACTGATGCATTTGAATTGTGGTGTTGGTGAAGAATCCTGAATATACCATGCACTGCCAGAAGAATGAACAAATGTGTTTTGGAAGAAGTACAGCCAGAATGCTCTTTAGAAGCAAGGATGGCAAGATTTCATCTCATATACTTTGGACATTTTGTCAGGAGGGACCAGTCCCTAGAGAAGGACATATTTTTGGAAAAGTAGAGGGCCAGTGAAAAAGAGGAAGACCCCCAGTGGACCAGAGAGACACAGTGGCTGCAACAATGGGCTCGAACATAATGATGGTTGTGAGGACGGTGCTTGACTGGGCAGGGGTTTGCTCTGCTGCACACAGGGTCACTACGAGTTAGAAGAGACTCAATAGTACCTAACAACAGCAACAATCTAGGAAGAAAATATATACTTTTAGAAGGTTAATGAAAGTGAAAGGATTAAGAGTCAAAATGATTAAATTTTTGTTTTTAGTAACCAAGATATTAGATAAGCAGGGAGTTGAGAATAAAGACCAGATTTGTCACTTTATCAAGTTTAACTGCAGTTGAATTATTTGGGATCAAGAGATAGAAGACTAAAAACCTAAAAGAGCATTTATAACTAAAGATAGGAAAGTGATTCATGAAAACATTGTGTTTGAAATTATGAAAGGTGGAAGGAACAATCCCTAAAAGAGAACCACTATAGGTGTGAGTTTGAAGATAAGGAAAATGAAAAACTGGAGGGGACAAGTCCTCAAAATTTGAGACCATAATGGGCATTAGAGAGAAGAAGAATGCGGTTTTGAATACAGCTGACAAGTCTAGAAGGATACTATTAGTTTTGGCTAAGAAATTATTTTGGAAGACCTTAGAGGGTGATTTGAGTTGAGTGGCTGGGCTAGGAGCCAGACTGTAGAGATCTGAGGAGAGAGAACTGAAAGTGCATTTTCAATGTTTTTTTTTTTTTTTTTAAGGTATTTCAAGAGATGTATTTAAACTTAGGGAAATATAATGCTCACTGTATTATGAGTTATGGTAAGAATATGCAGCCTAGGTCAAGCCAAGAGATCTTCATCTACACACCTGAGCTGATGCTATTTGCAAACAAAAGCCCCTCTTCATTCTATACCTACGAAGCAAAAAACAATTTCCTTCCTACACTTCCTATTATGATGCTTCAAAAGGGAAGCTGTAGAGCGCAAACATATTTGAAGTGAGTGTAAATCACATATATGTAACTATTAAAACCTAGAGATCTGGCATTGGATGCTAAGGAAAAACATTGTTATTGAGGTGTGTTGATTAAACATAAACACTTGACATGGGAAAAGATGTGTAAGACAATAATAATATACTAGACTTCAACAAAATTCTCTAACTGTTCACATTTCTTCACTAAAGATTTCTGTAGATTTCATAGCTGGTGATTCTCACTTCTCAGAAATGGAGGCTTATTGTTCCCAGACTTGATGGCATCCTGGCATTGTGTCCTCTGGTCGGTGTAACTCTGCTCCTGGCATTCATCTGTCTCCTAGCGCCATGATCACTTGGAGTGGCACACCCAAAGATCAAATAAATCCCATTTCACCCAACATACATTTATTCAAAACCAAGAGCAAAACTATTTAAGAGCTTATTTTGTAATTCAAAGAGTTTTGAACTTTGCAGAGCTCCCTTGCTCTGAGTTTGCTTCAAGTATAAAATCCATCTTCTTTTTTCTTCTTTTATTATTGTTGTTGTTCATGTCTTTGTTGTCAATTAAATAAAATTTTTGAAGGTGGACTATAATTTTGTAAAATATACATCTTGCCCTTTTTTGTTAAAAATTCCTATTGCTAGCCTCTTTTTTGGGGGGTGTGGGAATTGTACAGACAGAGGGCATAGAGACTTGTAAATATTCTGTCTAGTCATGGAACCGTGAACAAAAAGTCTACAGAAATATCGGGAAAAATCAAATGTAATTATAGCATGAAAACATATAATTCCATTAGTGACGCTCTATGCTTTTGAGGAATGTTCACTGATGCAAGACATTAAAACTGAGTTCCACGCTACTTCATTATATTACTGGTGATTACTGCCCTAAAGATATATATTTCAGATGGGGGTTCAGAAATATCTTATTTAAAAGGTTTTCCTTCTTGAGACTAGGTTGGCTAAGCTCTTATCCTATGATTGGCCAATTTTTCTTTTTAAGTTTTATAAAATTATTGAATTTCTTATTTTCATTCTTCACATTCTTTGCAGTTACAGAACAGATTTATGGGGATGGGAGAAAATGTATGTCCATCCTTGATTGCTACTTTCATCGATTGCATGCTTCTGAAGTATGTAACTCTCTATGCTACCCAAACAGTGATAGGAAAATCCATGGAGAATGCATTTTGTGCATCTGATAAGCATGCAAACAAATATAATCAAAAAAGCAAACAAAACAAGAATTCTCTAACAAGCAAGCATATGGCATGATGAACACTGTATTTGAGCACTCAATTGGAATGTAACCCCACAGCACTGGGAGGGCTGTTCATTTGTTTTTCAAGCTGTGGTGATTCCACATCACACACTCTAGTAGAGCCAGGACTTAGTAAGCATTTTGGCAAAATATCATTTGTTAACTGGGAAAGTTTAGGTCTGAGGTTTGTCAGAGTGTGAACTAGCTGTATTTTACTAAGGTTTCATGAGAGCAAAGCCTGTTGAAAGGGGAGCATTTTGTCAGCCATGCCAGAGACTTGACACAGATTGATTTGGGTTGGTCATGTCATAGGCCAAGGAAAACCATGCTCATAAGAGGTGGTGATCTTGTTTTTAAGAGACTGACGGGTGAGGGCTGACTTTCAAATATCTAATTTTACTTTTTTGGGTCTGTCTTAGTAAATCATTGGGACAGCTAATTCTAAGTAAGCAGTTTATAGTACTGTATTTTTTCAGCTCAAAGACCCAGAGACCTAAGAATCCAAGAAAGATGACAAAGCATTTAACACTTGGTGTGTGTAGCCTTAGCAACATCTCTATAATGCTGGGAACCCCTTTGTTTTACCAGACCCCTGAGAAGGAATTGCAGTGCCTGCCATTCCACTGTTTTAACAGGCATTTGAGAGTGAAACATACTTCTGGATTGTGTCCAAATGTTATACAGACATGTTTGCTCATTTTCATTAGATATTTGTAGAAATAGGGGGCACTTTATGAATCAAGAGTCACTGTTTCATTTCAGTTTAACTATACTGTATGTTGAGTTTAGGGTATAAAATGAAGTGATAGGGAAAACTTGTATAGAAGAAAATAGTGAGATAATAAAGGCATTAACATGGTTTTGTGGAAGCTCTGATACATATTATACATATGTAATGGCTCCAATAGGTTTACAGTGTCTACAATAAAATTTAACATGAGGCAAGCTGAACTTCTGACAATTTATTCTGTATATTGCTCTACCAAAATATTGAAACTTTCCTCAAGATAGTCTGTTGAATATAGAAAGAGAGGAGCAAGAAAAAGAAAAATGAAAAGATCTTGGCCCTTAAATGTGTGAATCTAAGCCAGATATTACCAGTGTATAACCAAGTCAGAATCAAGCATGCACTTTTCTATATCAAGACACTAACACCTATTAGCTGCATTAGCACAGAGCATACATTGGAGCCAGACTGTCTGTCTGTGAGCCTCTGCCCTGCATTGGGCCATCAGCTGCAATTCCTCCTCTAGGGACACAATGTAAAAATATCTCAGGAGAGGGAGCAATTATACATTTTTTAAAAAATGGAGGATTTTCTTTTTTAACTTGCAGTGCTCAAGTTCTTGGAACAAACAGTTAGTTTTTTGGGACTTGAAGCACATTTGAAGATTTAGGCACTCAGAGACAGAAGACATGCAATCTCACTACAGGAGAAGGAAGCCAAACCAGCTCCATGTACCATGGTGGAAAGAGCTACTAAATCTTTTAGAAGAGAGGAAATTTTCTTCAGCAGTGTTATAAGAGAAAAATTCAGCCCTGAACCAAAAGAGAAATTTGACAATATTGCCTATGGTGGGTAGGTGGTGGGTTTAAGAGGAAATGGAAGAGAAGGGTGGTTATTCATAATATTTGTTTATTTAGGAAACATTATTGAATGTTTACTATGATGTATTATGGTTTACAGCTAGATACAGGTAAGCGGGGAGAGAGGCCCCATCCAGGCAGGAAATGGGAGCCAGGGTGGACAGCCAGTAGAGGTAGGGGAAGGCCAAGAGTGGGTGGAATGATTTTGGAACAGGTAAGAGAGACAAACTGCTTTGTCAATTTGTCATACTGTGGTGGTTTGCATGTGGCTGTAAGGCTGGAGGCTGTGTTACCGGTGTTTCAAACAGCAG